AAGCTTTTCTTCGGTCCACGCTTATGATGGGGCATGCACTGCTTATCAATTCCATTAATAAGTTGGAGAGAAAACTAAATAGTAGATTATAACCTGCTTTACTTTGAATTGGCATCAGTGTCAATGTGGCTAAGTCTCTAAAAGAGGAATACTGAAGATCGGATGACCGCTCGAGCAAAGTCGGACGAATAGGAATTCATCAGCATCGAACATTTGAGGGATTTGAACGTACCGTGGAAGTGGGATAGAGTAACCCTCAGTACCGCACTACCCATCTCCGTGGGCTTCATTCGGGGTACCTTTCTGTTGCATCGTATATGTGATGGGAGTTTGGCAGCGCTTGACGTTTACTGTGTAACACACTCAAGGGGTGATCAGGGATGACCGCATCCGTTTCGTATTTAAACAAAATCGGACGAATGGGGAACTTATCAGTATCGAAGAACAGAGCTGAAGTTGAGTCGTGAGTGGGCGGAGCTGGTCTAGTGGTATGTGGCGGAACATCACGCACCGAGATCCTTTCCCAGATCATTACTCGGCCAAGGTAGCCTGGCGTTCCATATCACCGGATTCGCCAACTTATGCCATAGTCGGTTGGTGGGAAAAGACCGTACGTACGTAGGTCGACAACCGTAGGTCATTGTATGGTCCACGTATTAAAAACGCTGCATCGTATCTGAATGAAAGTGGAAAGCAGGGGCTCATACCAAAGTGTTAAGCGCCAAAAACTCCATTCTTAATCCTCTCAAAATGGGCAATGACGTAGAGCTGGAGGAAAAGTGTTATGGAGATAATATGTATGAGCAAGAGGGACGCCGGCTAAGTATGTAAATGTTTTCGAAGTAGTGAGTAGAAAAAAAGTTGTGAAATACGTAGTTCAAGAAAGNAAGCCCCTGCTGAGTTCGAAAATACATCAATTCGTCCACAAACAGTCAAGGATACGAATGGTAAGCCTCCGAAGCATTTCGTGAAGCGTTTCGTTGAGAAATTGCCCTATTGGGAAGAAATAGACCTAGCCTGTTAAAAAGAATTAGCATAAAAATTCTCATAATATTCTCATTTTTGCTTATCCTTTTCAGGTTTGGGATTGGACAACCTGATTTAGCTCTATGTCGCCGATTGATGCCACCCCTCATGGCCAAATACCCAAAGGTACTACTTTGTTTTGTCTCTCGCTAGTTCAAAAACACAAAATTTTCAAGGGAGCTGTTATTCTGTATCTACGAGCACGACTTCTGCTTGTGTCTGGTGAAATTGACTCGGCCATTTACTGCTTCAACAACTCTATAGAGTCACAACAAGAGTACAAACAATTTCATCATATCGCCTACTGGGAGCTATTGTAAGACAATATTAAAACAAAAGCTATTTATGCTATATCGACTCACCTTTCTAGATTCGCTCATTGCTATGTTGGTGAATGGGCGAGGGCGGCTAACTATGCAAAAAGGCTTTTGAGTGAATCCCGATGGTCGAGATGCGTCTATACCTACTTGCTATGTATACTTTTTGCAGCAGATACCACATGTGACGAATCCAAGCGGATTGAAACCGTGGCAGTACTGGCCAGGTACGCAGTTTCCTCCACTTTTGCAAATATTCGGAGTTATTCAATAAATATTACCACTAAACAGGAATATCAGGACACAAAATTATTTAAAGTCTATTTGATGTGGTGATCTGCAGCATCACTTTTTCCTCAGTCGTCTAGAGAAACTGTGGCAGTGTTGTTCTGGTTGTCGGTTTGTCTAGGGAAGCTCATTATTTATAATCCCCTGAATGCGCTTTTACTACAACGACCTTCCTCAGAAACGGTACTGTATTCTTTCATGCAGGAATGGGAATTTACTTTGGTATTGAGCTTAGTATAAAATTGAAAATGATAGTGACAGAGACGCATATCCCTGGTTCTCATCCCGGTTTGCCACTCGCGTAAGCCAGCCATGCTTCCCATTCCTTCGGAGTCTTTCACTAGGTACCAGATTTGTTTCGGAAAGGAAAAGGCTGCTTTCATAGTCCGCCGGCCGGCCGGCCGGCGTGCCGGCGTGCCACGAGGCAGTACTAGGGGGAGGAGGACGGCAGACGGTCGGTCAGCCCCTCGAAGGGCTGTAAACAATGAATGACAAGATCAAAAACCATTTGTACAACCCCCTGGTTGTTTGGTTTTTGATCTTGTTCTTCTTTCTTTTCATCCCTTCGACCGACCGTCTGCCGCCCTCCTCCCCCCTAGCACTGCTTCGTGGCACGCCGGCCGGCGGACTATGACAGCAGCCAAAGCAATAACTTGTACATCGGCTGGCGACCGCAACTCGTTGACGACAAACGGCCACATAGGTATTTATTCAAAACGGCACAGCGATCCTGAGTAGAAGTCGGGCTGGCGGTCTATCCCAAAAAGGGGTTCGATTAACGCCGAAGACTTTGGACTTCATGCGGATGACCAGCATTTTCTTGCAGAAGCACAATTAGCTATGTAACACAATCGTTTTACGACATACGTAGGAAAATAAAGGTCAAAACGCATACGATGAAGTATATGCACAAAAGGTACCTTCTTTCTACGCTTTTTCGTACTTTCCCTGAGTAATGGCAGAACTGGATGAACGGACGTTTCCTTTCTATTTATTTTCCATTCAAAATGGGATTCTTTCCCCCTCGAAGAATTATTGGAAGCTCCTAACTTCTAGAGATGATGCTCCTATACGGATCATACTATATCTTTCTACCCCTTACTTCACCTTCGTATACACAGGCGAATTCAAACATGATAAGGAAGGTATTGCATTTGAGGAAGATCGACGGCTTGCGACAGAAAATCGCTGGCAAGTCTATTCCCCTTGAAAAGTACTGTACGAGGAAAGCTTCACGTTTCATCGCAAAACAGACATTGATGTTCGCCCACTATGTAAGAAATTCTATTACTTAAGCAGCAGCGTTGGCCTTCCTTAGTGAATAGCAGATGTTCAGGAATTCATGTACTTTTGGAACGGATTCGACATTGTTGCTGCCAACTCGCAAATCCTTCAAGGCATTTTCGAAGATCTCCAGAACATCTGGCATGCGAGACAATCCAGAGGTGATTCGTGTTGAACTTTTCACAACTTGAACAATTCTTATTCGGTAAGACTTCAGCGGATGCTGACGATCGCGCACTGTACTTTTTCCTTCGTGCAGTCTGCCTGCGAAATCTTCGTCAACCAACGGCAGCAGAAAATAGTCTTCATGAGGTGCTCAAATTGTAAGTTTTGGTCGAACATCATTGTTGGAGGACCATAATAGGGCTAGTAGACAGCGAGAAAAGTGATCGTGGCTTTTGCTGATTTCCTTGGACCTTGTGAACTTCCTTTTCTAAATCCACCTGCTGCACTGCATCCTTTAATGTATGTACACTTGCACGGGGGGATTTAGAACAGGCACGTTAGAAAGCGCATAAGCTCTGAATATTACTACTTAACCCCTTGAAGAAGTACAAGAATGTGGCCTATGGATGTTCTGATCCAACCAACTCCTTCTTGTCTAGTTTTCATGGTTAGTAATTCAGCTTGGGGAAGAGGTGCAGGTTTCATCAGGAAGGCTTGCCGCCGCTCTTTTCGTAGAGTACGATGGTTTCTTTTCCGTTGGTACAATGGAAATCCAGCCGATATAACTGCGGCGTAACGAAGAAGTTGTTATCGTAATCCTCCAAACCGAGGGTGTTTGGAAGAGTTCGTGGACTACCATCCATTTCTTTCCACTAGGTTACCGATCAGTTCATACAGTTTAAAAATCTCCCAGACTGACGTTATGATTCTAAATTCAGGGAATCAGAGCTCGTGGACTTCACATATTTGCCACCGAATGCCATCTACGAGTTAGCGCTGCTGAGAATCGCCGAAGGCTACAGGGAAGAAGCAGAGGTTCTCCTTGCCAGAGCACGTAGCTACAAAGGTTTCTCCCTCGAAAACAAATTACTTTTCCGCATTCACGCTGCCATGGAGAACCTCGGCTCTAGGACACCTATGGTTTAGTAACTCTCAAGCTTGTTGCTGGTTATCGTCTGAGTAACGGGTGTGGTTAGGTGAAGGTTTGTCTAGTGATTCGCAGTTTTGTAAAAAGTGTCTGTTTGTATGTCATGATTGGAAAATGGTGTCTTCCACTTGGGGATACATTTGAGCTCTTTTTTTTTGCTTCAGACATTCTTCAACACTTTTCATGGCCAGTCTAAGGTACAAAAAATCCGTTCTGAAAAGTTGCCTTGCAGGACAAAGGGGTGCAGTGAATACATTTGTGACCAACATTCAATTGCACGGATCTGTTCGCGACTTACTTACGGAGAACAGTTCTTATTCTAGGCCGGTTAGGTCTGAAAAAAATCAAAGACAGCTAGCGTAGACCGAAAATTCTGTTTGTGAGAATCAAGACGAATATTACAATGTGCTTGTTCATCTACCTCTACAGGCAATCTGTGTCAATTTCTTTTCACTCCTCCATTCGCCCAAATGACATTTGGTGATCTTAAAAACCAGCTGTGCCTTGTTGTTGCTGTACATAAATGCATAAAAATGTTTCATGTAAGCTCGACAGCCTTTTTTAATAAATGATGCAGATCTTAACGTTATAAATAAGTCCTTGTCAAGTACACTGCCTGTCGGCATATTACAAGCGGCATATTGTCTGCTCTGCCAGTTAAACCCCCCTTTTCGTTCCTCAGATTTGTATGAAACTTCTTAAACATATGCATGCTCATTAATCACATTTCATGGAAGCAGAGACTGAGCAGAAGAGTTCAGGTAGACTGCTCGCCTATCCATTGCTGTATGAAATACCCACTTATTTTACTTCTTATATATGCTAACTTCTATTTATATATAGACCCATTAATGGTCACAGTTTGTTCACTGATTTCTCGATTTGTCAGTGTTTCACTTCGTGGTTCCGATATCAAGCCACCTATCTCTCCTACGCAAAATGTGACGTGGTACGGGCAGTGATATGGAATATCCACCTCCAATTGAGGAAAGGACGGATTTTGAAGTATCGTGAATGTTTTTTATGCGTATTTTTGGAGCTCTTATAATGCCTTCTTCAGACCTTAACTTTACAATACATAGTTGCAAACAATCAGTCAACAATCAGCTACTACATAGAACACATCGGATCCTATCAAACCAACCGGAGATGTTGGGGAAGAGCGGAGTGGAACTATTGGCGGGGAGCTTGAAAGAGAAATGGGACATCGCTCTTCTCCTAAGGCGACGGAGTGTTATCATTCAATCAGTCTCAGGAGGTCGCGCATCTCCTTCTTTGCGTTGATTTTCCATGATTTTCTTTTCCAGAGGCCGTACCAAATATCTATGCAAAATTCGCACTTCGAAAGATGGAACGCTCTCCTTCTCATGCTTGAGTGTACGGTGCCTGGAAAAGCTGCTGTGTGGGTAGGCAGCGGGGTTAGCCAACGCTCTTCCATGTTCGTCCAGGCGGATCTTCAAGGGCCTTGCGGTCTCCCCCACGTACTTCTCTCCACATTCTCCGCATTGAATCAAGTAGACTTTGCCTTGAAGCTCGCAGATCTTTTCAGAGGTACAGTAGCGACAGGACTGCTCCCGTTTCGAGGAGATGTCAGGAGATCCTTTAGTGTAGGGGGAGGTCGGAAAACAAGTCGAATAGGAAGCTGGGAGTTCTCCACGATGTGGATCACCTCATGTGCCATTTTGTCATTAACAAAAGGCAGAATGAGGCTCACACCGTCAGCCGTTCTGTATGGGACCCACGTCTTCGTGTTATCCATGACTATTAAGAATATTGTCTACTTCAGCATCAACAACTGAATCCCTTCGTGTTCGAAGCTTCCTCTTCGTTTTCAAAAGATTCCGTACGACGTTTGCCTTCATATAAAGAGGAAGTGCGCCCCTGGAATGCAACAAGATGTTAGACGAGGCACCTTTTCGATACCGCAGGTGTTCCTTGCAACCTTCACTAATCCCTACCTTTGCATTGAAGAATGGTAGAAATCCATCCTTCTCTGGATCTTCCCCTGTGAAGGCTATGTTAGCATCGTGAGAATTCAGCCTCTTCAGTGTTTCCACAGGGACTTCTTCTGTTTTTCCAATAATGAATACGTCATCGATGTAACGTTTGCAGAAAGATGCGCGACTTCCTGAGACTGATTGAATGATAACACTCCGTCGCCTCAGGAGAAGGGCGGTGTCCCACTTCCCTTTCTAGTTCCCCACTAATAGGTCCACTCCCTCTTCCCCAACATTTCCGGTTGGTTTGATAGGATCCGATGTGTTC